CATGAACAAAATCCTGCATGACCTTTTGTACCCGGAATTTGGTCTGGGTTGTACCCCGGCCGAACCATAACACGACTTCGTGAGTCTCCCAATGTGTGACCTAGGGAAAGTAGAGAAAAGTACGGACAACAACCTCCAATTTCGGGAAACCCTAAATAGCCCCAAATAACACCTATACCACCCCCACAACCTCCTTTAAAAGGCACCCGTACTTTGTGGAAACTGGTGTGTATAACCCTATATGACCCTCATATTGCACCTCTATCACCCTGTGTAATCCCCTAAACCCTACAAGCCAATTCGCAATTTCCACTTCCCCTTCCATTATTCCTATTTATAACCTTTTCAAAAACCACAGAAAACCGCCTAAACCCTAAACCCTAGAACCCTTAAACCCTGAAATCCTAAAAACCCTAAAGCCCCCGAACCCTTAAACCCTCAAACGCTAGAACCCGTCAACCCTAAAACTCTAAAGCCCATTCAGGTTCGCATTTAACTCATAGTCTAAACTCCGAGTATCCCCCTTAACAACCCCTACAGTAGTCCCCTGTATGATCTCCCTATCTATAACCCCCTTTAAGGAGTTTAGAACCCTAAACCCTAAACCTTGAACCCTAAATCCTAAACCCTAAACCCTACATATACTCCCTTATATAAGCCCCCTTTAAGGAGTTGAGACTATAGCTCATATAACCCTTTATGGATCCCCTGTATCACGCTGAAAGCGTAGGGCTTCGACTGCGAGGCTGCCTGGAGAGCCTCGGGATGGCGAAGTCACAACGGTTAGGGTTTTAGGGTTTTGGGGGTTTAGGTGTTTTGGGTTTAGGGTTTTAGGGTTTTAGGGTTTTGGGGGTTTAGGGTTTTGGGGTTTAGAGTTTAGAGCTTCAGGGTTAAAAGTTTAGGGTTTATAGTTTCGGGTTTGGGCTTACTAATGCAGAATCAAATGGAAAGGACCACTGTACATGAAACGGAAACTAGGGTTATAAAGGTGCAGAATAAGGGTACCGCGATTGATACTAAAAAACTGCATGACCCTAGGTACAAGGAAACTTGGAAATTGTAGAGTTAACTCAGTTTAGTATGTGGTAGTTTCCCCAAATTAGGGGGACCCAAATAATATGTACATATATATATATAGAGACCCCAAGTACTATAATCCTTCTTACGGGGACCCCCCCAAAAGGGTTCGGTACCCCTAACTTTGGGAAACCCCCCATATCGAGGCCAGGGCCAGCTGTTCAGTATCAGGCATAGCGATGGTGATCAGATTTCAAGATACCAAGACTGCTAGTAATTGAAATGGAAACTACTCGGGTTATATTAGGGTTATATTGGGGTGATATTAGGGTTATATTGGGATAATGGAAAAGGAAACGGAAACTACTATAGTATGCTAGTAATTGTAATAGTAATACTGTTGATGGATGAAATCTTGCACCATGTAGGGGCCCTAGACTAATTCCTAGGACTATAGGGGTGGTGCAAGATTTACTCCATCAACAGTACTTCTGGAAAGAGATCTTTGAGGATTAGGAGCGGCGGGGTACAAGGTTTGGAAAGTGCGAAATGGAGGGTTTAGGGTCTAGCAATCTGGCATTTTGAAGGAAGTCAGTGGGTTTGGGACGATACTCTACAGCTTTCCGGGAAAATGTCCAGTCTTCTTGCGTCTTGATTATAATAAACCTCAACCAGTATTTCAAGTGATCATCAGGCCCTGTCAGGTTTCAAATTACCTCCCTCCACGGAAGCAGATATCCCAGATTCCGCCTTTTGCACTTCAAAATACAGTTGGGCTACTGAAAGATGTGTTCTGTACTCTTAGTGGCTTCCTGCCAAAGCTCAGCATCACGCACAAGAAGTGGTGCCGTGAAGGCAGGCGTTTCTCAAAGTAATTTCCTCAATGACAGGACAACCACGCCACATGTCAACCCCGCTCGCCTCGGAGTTCGTGGGAACATACCTTGGCCAAAGGATAGCTTCAAAGGTTGAAACCATGGGCGCCTGGTATGGACCCATAAACCTGGGATCCTTATATAGCTACTATTTACCATGTACCCTGTCTGTACACTTAAGGGTCCCTAGCATCCCCCTAAACGGCCTACGGGCGCATACCAGGGGCCCATACTTCTTTTCCTAGATAGCTTATAGGTTTAGGGTGGGGGGCTTAAGTTCCCCAACACCAGCTACTGCAATGAAACACAGGCTGCCCAGGGCCACGACTCACAGAGGAGCTGCGTGAAGAAAAGAGCAAACGCCTGAGTGCTCAGACCACCGCGGGACTTTGTGAATCTGGCTGGTTGAATTGGACACAGCAAGCCTTTTGCTTGAATTGCATTAAAAAAACAATAAAGAAAAGCAGAGTCGCGCACAACGTCGACCTCTCAGAACAGCATCTTGAATACTTAGACATTCGTAACTACCTACAGCTCACGAGTTCTTAAGACCAGCATGTTGCACTCTATTTGAAGCTCGGAACCATGATTGCGTCGTTGAAGTTGAAGACGAACCAGTGCTTTTCCTGCTTGCAATTCCGCGTGAGAGCTTGCGAAGGCGCGCTTCCAGGCCTAGAAGTACGTAATATACTGGAATATTACTATGGCTGTTGTTTTTCTTATCATCAAAACTTTTATCATCATTAGTATTGTTACTGTTAGAAATGTTGTTCTTATCATTGCTATCATTATAATGATCCCACGTCTTGTCCTCGTACTCCGTGTGTCTGAGGTCTGGATTGCCCTGCCAAAAGTCCATCTGACTTGCGGGAATTGAAATGACAAGCGGGCTTAGGGTTTAGGGTTCAGGGATCGGACGACGCCAAGCACATCTGAGAGCCGCTGCGTGGGGTAGCCTGCTGCTGCTATGAGAATAATAATAAGAACAATGATAATCGCAACAATAGTCATAAGAGTTAAAATAGTAATACTATTCTTGATGATAATAATACTGATGGGATAGGTAACAGTATAAATAGAAATAAGAAGAAGAATGATAGGCATGTAGTAGTTATACTAGTAATAACAATAGTAGTAATAAGAGTATGAATAATAATAATAGCGGTAATAGTAATAGTAATAGTAATAGTAATAATAATAAGAGTGACTCTTTCAACTCAAGAGCTTGGGCCTTGTACAGCACGCCTCCGAACAAGTTGACGCCCAAAGTCATGAAGAAAAACACGACCTCAAGTCCCGTTTCTCTTGGTGTCTAAAGGGGGTTACATAGGGGCCAAATGGGGTCATAGAGGAGTTGTATAGGGTTATATGGGGGTTATATGAGCTTAGACTTTAGGGATGTATTGGGAGGGGGCGGCTGCTGACATCAGTGCTATGTAGCATCCACTGGTGTTGGTGGGCGCCAGACACCTAACGGGGGTGGGCAATAAGGTCCTGGTATCTTCCGCACTAACTTACACAGGCACGAAGCGTCTCTACAATAAGCAACACACTTCGAACAGGCTTGCACTCTCGTTCCTTGTCAATTATGCCCTGCGCTGTGCAGAATTTGGCAAGGGACAGGGCTTTTGAGTACTGATCAACGAAACCCAAACCCGTAACTACATGATGGTGTGGTGGCTTCTCGACTGACGCCGAGTAACGCAACCGAGCATGAGGAGGATGCTTCCTGCAAGTCAGCCAGCAAACATGCTAGTTATATACTCTTGCTGTTATTACTAATATTGCTATGAGTACTGTCATTATTACTGTTTTTGATTTTTTCTTATTGTTACTGGGGCTCGAGGCTACAGCTTCTAGGAGCACAGCGAAGATCCATCTCAATTGACCCTCTACGTCAGAGAGAATGATATCACTTCCTCAGCTCACACCTCCAACGATATTTGGCAGTTTCCCGAAATGGGGGGAACCTAATATAGACCCCAGAATACTATAATCCTTATAAAGGGAACCCCCAAAGGTACCCCTGGTTGCCAACCCCCTATTTATCAAATTGCTACTTTCATGCAAGGCAATGAAACAGTTGTGCTTGCATCCCAATATGTCACACATGTCAGATGCCTGCTGCGGACACCATCTTGGATACTGCATTTGCCAAGAACCTGGCCGCAGCAGTGAAAGCAAGATCTACATTACTACTAATCGAAAAATACCATTTGTGTGCATGCTCCTGCTGCTTTTCTTAGTATGAACGCAATTCCAGCCAAAGTTGATACGTCTGGCCCAGTACACACTCGCAAAGAGCACATCGCATCGGCACACAACCTGATGTACAAAGGCTCTGCAGCACTGCAGAAATCTGGGTCAAAAAATCACGAATCTTGTGGTGCTATCGGATAAGCAGATAATGTCGCCCATTGCACCCTCTGCAGGACAGGCTTAATCTAGGTTTGAATGTTTACTGTTGTTGAATTTTCTCATCTGTCCTGGCTATGCCCGGGTTCGGTTCAGCAGGCTCACAATCCTACGTGTGACCTCTAGCTTGCTTCCAAGGACGGCACTGGACGGATCGCAATGACTTCAGCTGTTTCACCACCTAACAAACGGGTCTGAGAAAGGCAAGCGATTTCGCATCCAGCAGTATATACAAACATGTTAGCGAGCAAGCTGTTCGGGACCTCAAGCCTGCAAACGAGGCAAAAACAAAATTGCAGACCGGAAGTCGTTGCTCTTGGTATCGGGCGCGCAGGAGGCGCAGTAGTCGCAAGATGTTCGCGTAGTGCTGCAAGTCAATTGGCATGACCTCAGCATTTGCCGTTTCTGTTTATCCTTTGGTGTGTCCTATGTCGCAGCATGATGCGTCAGAGAATCTAGGCTTCCGGGGCGCTTTATGAAAATTCTTTCCTGGCCCAGACGCGCTTTTTTCTGATTTTGCATTGAGCAAGGTGCTGCAAACCAAGCACCTGGAATCGATTCTGTGATAACTCGCAGTCGAACTGCTACGTTTGTAGCGAAAGGACTTTCTCCTGTCTTTGCAGGTTCTGCAAGGCTGAATTGCCGAAATGTCCCTGCAGGGGGGTCCACCGAGGACGCTGCACCTTCAGCAGCTCGGCCATTGCCAAACAAAGAGGAGGCTCACTCTGATTTCTGCGTGGAACTGCGTCCAAACCACCAGGTCCGTAAAGGGCCGTTCCATGGCCCACCTCCTTTCTCTTCCAGCTCTTTCTGCCGAAGCATCCGGATGGGAATCCCAATTGCCAGTCCAATGGCCACGCCAATCGCTGCAGCTCGTGGATTCTTGACAAATCTCACATTATTTGCCAACCACTGAAGAAACATTGCAAGGGGCACTGTCTAAATGAGCCATAATCTACAACTCCTAGTTTCCCCCTTAATAGCCCCTATAGTAGTCCCATATATAATTCCCTATATAACCCACCTTTAAGGAGTATAGACTAGAGTTCAAGTGGGTGTGTCAGGACAGAGACAATAATTGAGCCTAGGTTGCTGAACAGCGCACCTCCATTCCATACAATCATGCAGACCCAGTGCCCCTTAAGTTTTGGGAAGGGAGCTTAAGTAGATAGACTATGGGGTATATGGGGGATCTTATTATAATATACCTAAAGCCATATTCTATCTACTTCAGGGGGACTATAAAGTGACAGGCGTCTCTTCTAGCTTGACCAGCTTGAACCTGCTCGTGCAAGATGCAGCAGACAATTTGCTTTGATACTTCCAAAAAAGATGACAAGGCAATTGACGTCCCTATGCCCACCAAGTACCACATGACATCCCCGCGCTCGGGCTTTAGAAGGCATCGCATGTACAGGTGAACGTCTTGCATAGGGCCCCGACACTATGAGGAAGGTAAGGCAGAACACTTGTAAACAGCAGCAGAAAGGTCGTGAAGAAGTCGAAACCTGAGCAAGGAATGCTACCGTCAACGGATGTGAGGTTCGCTATTCATCTTAGCCCTCCTACAACCCGACTTAAACTCCTGCGAGCAGGGTTTTCTGACTCATGGAGGATTATTCAGGAACTCTCAAGTAACACCACCACCGCCGCCGCCGCCGCCGCCGCCACCACCACCACCACCACCACCACCAATACCGATACCAATCGCCACAAAAAGTCTTCTTACTCGGACCGATAACAACTACGGTCATTGGCAACATCGTCGCCTTAGCATCAGGTCATGGTCGTATCCGCTGCGGTCGTTGTCGGGCTGGTTCTGGCTTACGGTGGTGGTGAAAGGTGGTCGTGACATATGTTTGTGCTTGGACTATTGCCAGCGCTTGTTCCTTGTGCGGTCTTATTTGCGGATGTCAATTCATTTGCGATATGCGCTCGCGCACATGAGAAAGTCCAAAAATCCTACCCTGCTAGAACTGAATGTTGAGCTGAAAATAATTGCCCATATAGGTAACCTCAAACAAGCTTTGGACTTGCATTTATCATGCGCAAAGAAATGGCGGCAAAGGTAGTTTGACACTAGGCATGTGCGCCACCAGTGCTGGACCTGATGTTGGGACTTGAAACTAGGGTATATCGGGATATTGTATGGATAGTATGGGATCATTATAGCAATATCATAGGGATGTTCTAGGGACATTATAGGGAGATTGTAGGGTCTTTCATGGCTCCTTTGGCAGACAGCATGGCTAGCCATAAGGCCGGCCGGAACAGCTCAATATTTGTTCGCTAACTGTGTAGGGTACAGGGTCGGAGGCTCCAATAAAAACCCAAATATACTATAATCCTTAGTATGGGGAACCCCGAAGAGGTACCCCTAATTTTGGGTAACCCTAATCCCAATAAACCCAGTTTCCGTTCCATGTTCTTTTTCATTCGATTCTCCAGTGCTAGGGGATTATATACCCATAATTTTGGGAAACCCCCTACACCCTAAACCCTAAACCCTAGATAGTAGCTTCCATTTTTCCATTGTCCCAATATAATCCAAACTTAAACCCGAAGATTTGAGCCAGACCTTGCTGAATCCGGCAGTTGAAGGAGTGACTCACTGGGATAATATGGAGGTTTCCCAAACTTAAGGGTACCTGTCAAGGAGGTTATAAGGGTATATAGGGGTATATAAGGATTTGTTTGGGTTAAGGGTTACGGGCTAAGGTTTCCCAAAATCAGGGGTGCCTTTAAGAAGGACTATAATATTGTTGGTGTTGATATCGGGGGCCCCCTATTTATGGAAACTACCAACTTCATTTTGCAGGACATGCTGAAGCGCGATCCAGGGCAAGTGACCACAACGTTTTTGGCAGCGTTCGTGTGAACCATGTGCATGGTAACTACCATTTCAACGTGCAAGCAACAGTAAGTATGGCAGCCATACAAGTCATTCAACACGAATAACTGCATGGAGTAGCATGTCCATACCCTCAGCCCACTGCTGAACTAGTACTATTACTGGTATTACTACTAGTAGTAGTACTGTTATCATCACTATTATCCTTGTTAGTATTTAGTATCAGTATTGTTACTACTATTATCTTTCTTATTCTTAAGCATCTATCCGGATTTTTGGAGCAGATCTGAGGTTGAAGCGGTTGGCTGCAGAGCGCCAGTAGACGTCGAACGTGCGCACGGCCACCTTCACTGCGACCTGACGGCAGGATTCTGAGGGTTTTAGAGTTTGGGGGTTTAGGGTTTAGGGTTTAGAGTTTAGAGTTTAGGGTTTAGGGTTTAGGGTTTTAGGGTTTAGGGGTTTAGGGTTTAGGGGTTTAAGGTTTAGGGCTTTGAGGTTTGCATTGACATTATAGGGGTTCTATAGCGGTTCTATAGGGGTTCTATAGGGGTTCTAGGGTATATATTCGGGTTATATAGGGATGATGTCTTTCCATTGACATTATATTCTGAGGTTTTAGAGTTTGGGGTTTAGGCGTTTAGGGTTCAGGGGTTTAGGGTTTAGGGTTTAGGGGTTTAGGGTTTAGGTTTTAGAGTTTGGGGTTTATGGGTTTAGGGGTTAAGGGCTTGGGGGGTAGG